GTGGGGTCGCTAGGGGGCTTGGTGGTTCCAGAGAGGGTTTGGGGGTCTCTAGATGGCCTTGAGAGGGTTTGGTGGTTCCTCGAGGGGTCCCTGGAGGGGGGTTGGTGGTCCCTGAGAGGGTTTGGGTGTTCCTAAGGGGTCTCGGCAGGATTTGGGGGTCCCTAGGGGGATCCTGGGGGAGGGAGGTTTGGGGTCCCTAAGGGGCTTTGGGGGTCCCTAGTGGGTCCCTGGGAGGATTTGGTGGTCCTTGAAGGGGGTTGGGTGTTTCTAAGGGATGCCTGAGGGGGTTTGGGGGTCCCTGGGGGAGTTTGGTGGTCCCTGAGAGGGTTTGGGTGTTGCTATGGAGTCCCGGTGGGATTTGGGGGTTCCTAGGGGGGAGCTTTGGGGTTCCTGGGGCTTTGGGGGGTCCCTAAGGGCTCCCTGAGGGGATTTGGGGGTTCCTGGTGGGGTCTCTAGAGGGCGTTGGTGGCCCTTGAGGGGGTTTGAGGGTTCCTAGGTGGTCCCTGGGGGTGTGTGTGTGTGTCCTAAGAGGGTTTGGGTGTTCCTAAGGGGTCCCAGCAGGATTTGGAGGTCCGTTGGGGGTCCCTGGGAGGGGGTTGGGGTCCCTAGGGGGATCCTTAGGTGTCCCTGGGCAGATCCTGGGGGCAGTTTGGGGGTCCCTGAGAGTGGTTTAGGAGTCCTTGGGGGGTTTGGGGGTCCCTGGAGGTGTATTCAGGAAGTTTGGGTGTCCCTGGAGGACATCCCCAGGAGGTTGCGTGTCTCTCAAGGTGTCCTCAGGAAGTTTGGGTGTCCTGGGGGGTGTCTCCAGGAGGTTTGGGTGTCCCTCAACGTGTCCCCAGGAGATTTGGGTGTCCCTAGGAGGTTTGGTTGTACCCAGGGGTAGTTTTGGGGGTGTCCCCAGGAAGTTTGGGGTCCCTGGAGGACATCCCCAGGGGGTTTGGGTGTCTTTCAGGGTGTCCCCAGGAGGTTTGGGGTCCCTGGGGGGCATCTCCAGGAGGTTGGGTATCCCTGGAGAACATCCCCAGGTGGTTTGGGTGTCCCTGGAGGACGTCCCCAGGTGGTTTGCATGTCCCTCAACGTGTTCCCAGGAGGTTTCGTTGTACCCAGGGGTGGTTCTGGGGGTGTCCCCAGGAAGTTTGGGGTCCCTGGGTGCTGTTTTGGGGGTGTCCCTTGAGGTTTGGGATGCCTGACGCTGGGTGTTGCCCAGGAGAAAGAGGGAGTGCAGTGGGAAGCGAAGGAGGAGGAGGAGGAGGAAGAAGAGGAGGAGGAGGAAGGGGAGAAGGAGGAGGAGGATGACCACATGGAGTACTGCCGGGTGTGCAAGGACGGCGGGGAGCTGCTCTGCTGCGACGCCTGCGTCTCCTCCTGCCCCATCACATCCACTGCCTCAACCCCCCCCTGCCCGAGGTCCCCAACGGAGAGTGGCTCTGTCCCCGCTGCACGGTACGGGGACACGGGGACGGCGGTTGGGTGGGGAGGTGGTGGGGGACCTGGTGGGGATGGGACAGGGATGGGGATGGGGATGGGACAGGAAACTGGTGGGGACATGGCAGAGATGGGACAGAGATGGGGATGGGACAAGGATCTGCTCAGGGAGGGACAAGGACCTGGTGGGGACAGGATGGGGATGGGACAAGGACCTGGTGGGGATGGGATGGTGATGGGATGGGGAAGGGACAGGGACATGGTGGGGATGGGATGGGACAGGGATGGGGATGGGACAGGGACCTGGTGGGGATTTAGAAGGCTTGGGACGTGGCAGGGATGGGACAGGGACATGGTGGGGATGGGGTGGGGATGGGACAGGGACGTGGTGGGGACGGGATGGGACTGGGACCTGCTGGGGATGGACAGGGATGGGGAAGGGACAGGGACCTGGTGGGGCTGGGATGGGACAGGGATGGGGATGGGAAAAGGACCTGCTGGGGACAGGGAGAGGAGGGGGATGGGACAGGGATGGGGACAGGCCATGGAGAAGATGGGGGTGGCGATAGCACAGGGGTGTGTACAGGACAGGGACCTGGTGGGGACGGGGACGGGACAGGGATGGAGATGGGACAAGAATGGGATGGGACAGGGATGAGGACAGGGGCAGGATGAGGATGGGGACAGAGGTTGTTCAAGATTGGAGACAGGGACAGGACAGGGATGGTTCAACGCTGGGGACAGTGATGGGACTTGATGGGGACGGGGACAGGGACAGGACAGGGAACAGGGACAGGGTCTGATGGAGACAGGGATGGTTCAGGGTTAGGGACAGTGATGGGACCTGGTGGGGACAGGGACAGGACGGATGAGGATGGGAATAGGGATGGGGATGGGAACAGCGATGGCTCAAGGCTGGGGATGGGGACAGGGACAGGACGGGGATGGGGACAGGGACAGGACGGGGATGGGGACAGGGACAGGACGGGGATGGGGACAGGGACAGGACAAGGCTGGGGACAGGGATGGGAATGGGGACAGCGACAGGACAGGGATGGGGATGGGAATGGGATCAGGGATGGGGACAGGGGTGGGGACGATGACGGGGACAGGGACAGGGACGACCACGGCCATGGGGCCAGCACAGGGACGCTGCAGCCACACCTTGGGGACAGCGTGGGGACAGCCACCCCTCGGGGTGGGGATCTGCCCCCCCAAAGGTGCTCTGGGTGTTGTGGGGGGGTTGTGTGGGACACGTAACATGACCGTGTGGCTGTCCC